AAAAAACAAAACAGCCAGATATACCATCCTTAAATAATGCATGCACTCCTTGTAGAGGACTTGTTTATATTGTAGCTTAAGTGGTTACTGTCACTCTTTTGGAACACGCTATTCTGGTAAGCCTGTGTAATCATTAGGTAACATCAGTGAAGGGGTGTCCATGAATAGCCTCAATCTAACCGAGCCTACAACATTTATATTCTTGATTTTTTTGGCGTTCTTTAGGGATTCTGTTTTTCTCTATTTCAGTTTCAACTTTTATATTTCACGAGGGTTTGTCTACAAAGAGCATATTTGCCACACGAATTTCAAATATAGCAATAGAAATGTACCACTTTGATATTCTTTTTAAAGAATTGCTTCAAAATGTTGATAAAGTTCTAAAATGATTTAGTATAAACACTTACATGATGAAAAATAACATTTTGCTCTAGAACATTTTATTACCTGCTATATAAATACGAGGATTGATCCAGATATTTGTCATCATTTCATGTGTTTTCCTCATTCATTGTTACATTGAAGAAATGTTGATACAGCTACAAACTGTTAACGTTTTTCTTAATGTTAAAAAGGTCAATTAAAATACAACACAACTCAATTACCAATTATATTTGTAAGACTTGATATATAGTCTACAGTACTACGTATTTTGCGGAAATCATTTAGCTCTTCATTGCTTTCCTTCCAGTGTTCAATACATTCTCTAAAATGTTACTTTCATAAGGATATGACACATAGGATAACTCTAAAATGAACTTACCACAGAACTTGTAATGAAATCAAAGTGACAGTGTGAAATTCTATAGCTATATACATTAATCTCAGCTACAAGGTAAAGATTCACTAACCTAATTGCTTAGGGGCACGATTTTGACACATTGCAATTTTAACTGAAAAATTAATATCCTAAACTTACCTTAATGTTTAGCAGCAAACATATTTTCTACTTATATTTTCTTGTTAGCAGATGTCTCATTACAGACATCTTTGAAATCCGTCAACCTCATATTTTAGATCGAATAATAAATTTCAGACAAGCTCAATTCAAGAACGTAATTTACATAAATATGTAAGTTAATGTTTTCAGGTCAGATATACTTCAATTATCACTGCATGGTTCATGGTGTTTACTATTTTCTTAACTTTGCAGATCTAACGCATGGTTTTGAACTTTTCTTCTGTTCTTACTAACTCATTATTACTGCGGTATACCGTACCCCGGATATTGCTGGATATTATGAGGACTTTCATCCCATTTCGCGACTTTGAACGGGGAACGAAGGTAAGTTCAGCGGCGATATTTTCCAAACTAATGGCTATTTCATTTCTCTCAACGGGTTTTATATATCTAAAGGCATTTTTGTAGCTCTAAAAGACGTAAAAGTATTACAGGTATTCGTAAAATTGATTAAACTACCCCTAAACGATCCGCTGCTCATTAAAAATACTTACCGCGATACTGTAAAATCGTTAGAAATTATTATATTATCAATATGAAAAAGATTGAATTGGGCATTTTTTTTATTCACAATCCATGTATGCTTTGTCCAAATTTCAAGCGAAAGTGTGAAAGTACAAAAAGATACAGGCCATAAAAGATACAAGAAAGTGTACCGAATATTGATTTTAAGTGTACAAAGTATTGAAAAATAGCCCAACTTTAGTGTACAGTGTATTGCAAAACAGAATGAGCACATTAGTATGGCAAATCGATATTTTTGTCTAATTTTCACGTCTGTTTATCGATTCCATTTCATTTTGCTGATAATGTACAGTTTATGTGATATTTATTCAAATATTTCAGATTCAACAATGTATTTTCAGTGTTATTACTGTTCTTTTCCTACGGACAAATACAGATATTTAATTGCCCATTTGATTTCACACTATGGATGAAATAAAGTGTGTGCAGGGTCGGAAGCAGGGTCGGGAGCAGGGTAGAACCATCAAAATTGACGATAAAAATCTTTAAATGCATGTCTCAAGAAATTGTGATCAAGGAGAACCATCTCTGAAAAGAAGAAGAATAACAAAACATATTTAGATGACATTAATAAAAGGTTTTTACAGGGCAAGTTTGTCTTAAAAAAAACATATCGACACACTTAGTAAATTATTGGCCCGAGTGCTTATGCCGTCAATGCCGTCCAAGCATGCCGGTATCGTCTTAACCTTTTACTGCATAAGCATTGCGAAAAATGGCGTTTTCATTGAATTAAGCCTCTTGTTACAAGTTCAAACTGCTATGAAACTACAAAAATGCTTCAATACTGATCAAACTGGACACAAATGTTGGCTGGACAATAGCCTGTGGAAAATTATGCTCAATTTTTATTAATTTCCAGTTACCATGGCAACGGGGGACGTCTCAAAAATCTCTATTTTGCGTTGTTTTTCCCATCAAAACTGACTTCAGGGTGCAGCAACTTCTCAATTGATTGAGATAAAGTCTAAGGTTTTCGGCGTGGATTACACGGTACCTTTCAATCGACCTGAGGCCATTTAGACGGGCTACTGCCCCACTTCAACCCCCCAAACAAAAGGGGCACATCCCCCCTGTGGTACCCCCTTGATATACCTTTTTAATGGGGGGGGGGGGGTACCGAAAAAGTGATCACTTTTGAACAACATTTCTCAAACGAAGAAACAGTGTTTGGGACCTAAATAGTGCATGTTTTACACTATTTGAGGCCTCAAAAGTGGTGGGGTGTAAAGCCTTCAAAACACGCCTTTATGAGGTAAAAGGTTATAAGGAACATAACCTTTTTATTGCATCTGCTGCCCTTTATCATAATCTTATCAAAATCCATGATTCGGTATTTTGAGCTGTACTCGCTCGGCAGTCATACGGTACTTCAAAAAAAAAAAAATTCACGTGCAGACGGTCTGCCGTTGCTAGAGTGCAGGTGCAAAATGACCGAAATCTCCCTTTTTATGGATTTTTGGCTTACTACTAATTTTAGATATTGGCACACTCGCCCAATACCGTCTAATATTGACAATCTTGAGGCAGCATAAATGCACTTTCGATGCATTTTTTTGCTAGTTAAAGTAAGATATGCATTTATTATTAACAAAGTCTGGAAAGGCTGATCCTTCGATATCAACGATAGCTTTATAAACACAGAAAATTGCCAAGTTCGTTTGACTGGGATTTTTCATGAGCAGGAATGAAAATCTGGATTATTCGCAGATGTTTCCAGTAAAGTACATCCGAAGTCTGCATATTCTGCACATGTAGTGCAAATAAGTATACACAATAACAGATATTTAAAATTACATGTGGTAAGCACTCTGCGTTTACTTCTTGCATTTACTCTATATTGATAACCTATACTCGTTTCACTAAAAAGCAATACTCGTGACACCGACGGGCAACTCCAATGCAATACTCGGTACACCGACATGTGTATTTATTCTCAAAATACACTGTCATCTGAGGTTCTATTGTTGATTGAACATTTACAACATAAACATTGTCATAATTATCACATTTCACTCGATTCAAGTTTTTCTTTTAAGGAAGTATATGCACAGCTCTAAACATCAAATGTGACTGATCCGAGCTATTTTATCAAGTGAGCAAAGAGACGAATTTTACCTCCTAATTACATTCCAAAGGTATTTCTAAAATTTTTTAGGTTTTCAGTAACTAGAGAAATTATCGAAGTATTTGTTTTTCTATAAAAAATTATATCAAACTAATTCAAAATGACTAAATATCGTCACTGAACTTACCGTCTTTCCTCGTTCAAGGTCGCGAAATGGGATGAAAGTTCTCATAATATCAAGCAATATCCGGGGTACGGTATACCGCAGTGATTATACTCAGTACACTTTCAATGAGCATTTGAAAACTGTATTGATATATAGCAGTACAGTTTTTTCATTGATTTATATAGGAAAAAACTCAACTGCTATATAGCGGTTTTTTTGCACCTTTTTTATATCAGCGTAGTTTTTTCACTGAGACTCCAATGAGGCAGCGGTAACGAACATTCCCAGTAGCAAAATAAATTAAAAATAATAATAATATTAATTATAATAATCATGAAAATCATAATTATAATAATAAGTCAGAAAGAACATTAATGAATTTATTCTCATAAATTTATGCAACTTCTGAAATCAAAGGGTTGTCCGCTGAATGGATTATTTCCACTGAAAAAGCTGTAAGGTAGCTTACGACATCATTAGCTGGTATTCGTTCATTTGGGAGTGAGACGGTAAACAAGTTATAGGGCACAAGAGAGGGAAATGCAAGCATTTTGTTTGTTTTTTGTTTTTTCCTGATTTCTATTACAAAAAAATGAAAATGTGATAAAACAGTTATAGTATATGAAACTCGATAGTTACGGGGGTATATCACTGGCTGGGGCGACATCTCGGGATGTTTCTGCAACAAAATTGTCTCGGCCTAACGGGCTCGACAATTTTTAGCAGGAGCACCCCTTGATGTAGCCCCAGCCAGTGTTATATCCTCGTAACTAACTCGTTCCATATATTATACGTGATTTCATTTGACACTGTTGTTGCTGAAACACTTGTTATAAACTTAGAAAACTATAGACACATTGTATTTATTTTCCCATCCTGACATACTTAAGCTGGTCTCAGTAAGACATAAGGTCTATTGAGTCTTTGGAGCCAGATTAAGGATAAGATTTATGTTAGTCTTTGAAGTGGTGCCTATCCAGTCTCAAAACAAATATCGAAAATATTATGTAAAGCAATTTAATTCTCAAATCTTTTTCATATTTAAAGCTGTAATCAAGCGATTTTTTATGATTTAAATATTTCACCATCATCATTATCATTTTTATCACTAGTATCATTTATATTAATCATTTATATTATTATTATTATTATTATTTTAGTTTTTACGAAACCAAAAACCGTGTCAAAACTTCCAAATTACTTCATGACAAATCAAAAGAATGATTTCGATCCAAAAATAAGCTTATATCTATATTTACAATCATTACTGTCTTTGTTATCGAGGTTTAAAGTCGGATGTTTGAGTATAATGTTAGACACAGTAATACGTAATACTATCAGTTTTTATACTTACTGATTAATTATTGTGCGTGATATTGTTAGTTAAATATATGTTTGATAATGGCAGAAAAGGATGTAAAAAAAAGTCTGAATGAAAGAAATAATGACTCCGAATCGTTTCTAACATTGAAAGGAGTAAACAGTTCTGTTGCAAGCACAACCTGCCATGACCAGTCAGTTATGTTACTGACAAACGCAGACATTGATTCTGGACATTCTGGACAGTACTCTCACGAATACGAGGTTTGCTCTGTTTGTATCAAAACAGAAGATTTTCGAGCTGCAACACATTTCTGCAAAAATTGTAAACCATGTGGAAAATATCTGTGTGGCAACTGTTTAAAAGCGCATACTAATTTTTCAAAACATCATAAAGTGGTATCACTATCTGTCAACAAGAAAAGGTAATTCACTTGTAATGCACTGTAGTTAAATTTTCACATCAGCTTCTCAAATGACTTCCGTCATAAGAAATATAAAAAACAATGTTTTGATTTAATGATTAAATGATTTCATTTCTTTTTTTATTAATTATTACCACTTTCAAACACGTTTCATAACCTATAATAATTTGTTTGAGCAGTGATTTCCTTTTTTTCCGACTTTTATTTTAGAATTATCTTTAAATCGTTTTCTAACAGGTATTTCTTTTTCTAAAACCGAAGTCACACGCACCATATCATTACGTTAATATTTTTAAATATGAACAGAAATTCCATATATACATATGCACTTTGTTCGTTGGCTTAATCTGAATGAGATATTTCGATTCATTGTCAATGTCAACAGATACTATTGCGTGACAGGATATATTGTTACATCTAAACAATACTCTGACTTCAAAAGAATTACCTGTATCACAATAATGGCAGTTGATAAATATCAAAATCTTTTAACATTATATGTCTCCTGTTTAAGCAAACATCAATGCTATTCATTGATTCATTGCATACTTAGAGTAATTTGATTGCGTATGCTAGATTGCGACATAATTTCAAGAAATTATAAATAGCTCACGTAATTCAACAAACGATTTTTGGCAATGATTAAAAACTTCTACGTATAACGTAATAATCATAATGTCTTCATGGAATGTTTTATGTATTACGTATTAATCCTAACGTCTTCATGGAATGTTTAGGATAATTGGAGGACCTCTAACAACATCTGTTATACCGCTTTATCAATAGTGAAGAAACTATACAGGTCATATAGATGGTCCACTATAAAAAATCACAAATAATTCTAGTCCAATGAATTAGATGACTGCCGAACCTAAAGATAGAAAACACTTTTTTATCATTCCTTCATCAACAACTTGTTAGATTTTGATAAAACGGTATAGCGATCATTACGTAGTCCTTTAAAAGAATGTTAAATAGTTCCGGTCTGATAAACAAAATAGCCCGAGAATGAGCTTTAAATAACATTTCTTGATAGATTTTAATGGAACTGTACAGTATTGATCATTAGGTAGACCTTTAGTTCAAAAGTTGCTGACGTCATGATAAGCCGGGTTAATTAGACTAAAAATTGTAATAACATATAAACCTCCTTGTAGAATGTTTTGAAACAATACATAAATGATCACAAGGTGGTAAATAGTCGCAGATTGCTGAATAAAATGGCCAATAAATTTAAAAATAAGAATAAGCTGTTAAGAACTGCCCGTCATTAGCCATGCAACATATATCAATGCACCTTTACATGACTTATCTGCATGTTAAAATTTGAATTGCTAATGTTGAACAAAATGGTCTAAAAAGATAAAAATGAAAATACAGTTTTAATCCTCTAAAGTACATTTTCTCCTCAATTAATTGGTACAAACAAAATATTCTTGTCTGTGACGAAAGCCGATAATTGATTATTTTTCTTGCAAATTCATATTCATATTTTCCGAAAAAAATGTCACGAAAACTAGTTTTCAGTTAGTACTTATTTCTCGCAGTAGCGATTTAATTAACAATTTTATTCATAACGACAAAATAAACGTCATCTTAGAAAGGCAATTTAATGGCGTGCAGTGCGGGAGTGAAGTCGTTAAAGCACGTGATTTGTCTTACTTGGAAAGGGTTAGAGTAGCATCGGTGTAAACAGTAGATAATCCTGTCCTATGTGCTAGAAATTAAGTCGCGTTCATAGCACAACGTGTAGACATTTACAAACCAACATATCAATAATCAGTCATTCGACACATTATCATTTACCAAGATATATTTTTCCAAAGCTTAAAATATATAAAGTGCAGAAGCAGACAAATAAAAAATGAAAGAAACTGTATAAATAAACGTTTCAAATCAGAATTGAATTCAAAATAACTTTCTTCTATATTGTAATCATATCGATAAACTTACTATTTTTGTGTCCCTTCAAAATATTACAAAAGTATTACACCTTTCTATTTATCTTATATTTTGGTCGAATGCCATCTAAAATCAGATTGACTTTCTGTAAGATTTACAGAGAGGAACTGATTATCAGAATAATTTTCCATTGGTCATTTTAAAATTACAAACTGAAATCTAGGAATCTCATTTTGGTCATTCTAAGTTAACTGTAAATGATATTTCTTGCGAATCCAAAATGAAACTTAAAAGATTATTCAAAAATCAGATGTAAATGATAGGTCAAGCTGAAATAAAATAACATGTAAGGGAAAGTTCTAAAATAAAATGTACATGATAGACTTTTAACTTTCTTGTTAAATTGCTGATATATTAAGGTCCTGTAAACCATATTTCCCCCTACAAAACATCTTACACTGCGTTTAGATTTCAATACATTATTTTTGTACAGTTTATTTACAAAATTATTTTTTACATAAACTTACCGAATAATACATTTTGTCCAAAATAATGAGACCACCAATAATGTTCACGATCCTGTAAGTATACTCATTCACATGAACATATCGAAAAACACACCCAAACAAATATAAATAAAATAAATTAAAATTATCAGGTTTTTCAGTTTAACATATTCAATAAGTGTCCAATATTTTATCTGATCGTTCATGTGTTTAATTGACATAATGCTGATAATTTTAATATATTTATTTTGGGTTTAATCGAGTGATTAATAATTGTAGCTGCCTAATGACTGCAAAGACGTTCGTTTCATTTACCAAAACACGACAGGTAACATCTTTCAAGATTAAAACCCCCATTGATTATACCGTCAATTTTAACAAAAGAATTTTTACTTAAAAATGGTTACTTACCACTTGTTTCGTATTTTCTATGTTTTTCAGTATTTCTCGGTGCAGGTGCTGCAAATTCAAAGATTTAATATAGCAACGTTTTGTTTTCAATTATAAGCTTCCTTTACCTTTTCAATTCCGTTTTGATCTAAGCAATTCTTTGTAAGTTTAAATGGGATCCAGTATACATGTATACAAAATAACCAATTTACATTGAGAATTAAAAAATAAATGCAATTATTGAGCACAAAATAAATTGGTCTATTTGTATGCAGAATTTAAAGTTTTAATTTGGAATCAGACTCTCCAATTTAAAACAATTAATGCGGTGGGTGTTTGCATTAAATTAAAGGTAAAACGTGTTGATTTTATGCTATCCATTATCCGTTTATGTTTTTCTATTTGCAATATTTCATATTACTTAAGATTCTTTAAATAATACTGTCATATTGAATATGATGACAAAATTAATAAAACTAAACGTAATAAACAAAGAATAATGGAAGTTACCATATTTAAAGCGACATCCATATCAATATGCTTATAATATAATTTATATTGTTTCAAAATGTGTTTTTCCGTAGCTAGAAGAAATTATCATATTAATGCAATGCAAACATTGCTTACATTTCATTTCGTTTCGAAAACCTAGAAATAACACATGCAAGTTAACCAGCTTTACTTTGGCCGAGTTTCTGTATAAAAAAAACATTTCGCTTTTGTTCTTGCTAGTTACTGAATGAACATAATCTGTTGCCGAAATTTCTTCTTACTCTTGCATTTTCTTGTACTGCATAAGTTATATCTCTCCCATTTTAACTACTTGATGTGTCTCTTATTTTTGCCTGGCATTTCTTCTCAATATTTAATAGTGTTTATTTCGGCTTTGTATGCCGTCTACCAGAGAAAACAGAGGATACTTAACAATTAGTACAAACAAATAAAACCATACAAAGTGCAAATAAGTATACTGGTATATACAATTTAAAATAAGTGTTTACAATTTAAATACCACAGTTTAATTAAAAAGTCTAACACAATTAGTTTTAAAAGTATTCAATGCCTATATAAAAGTCGCCAAATAATTGTAAATGAGACATCTAATAGCATATAACTTTACAAAAAACGTAGCCACTCATGAATGTATAGTAAATTTGACACGGGTTTACAGACATAAAGAACAAAGAGAATAAAATTGGTGATTTTATCTAAACAGTATCATAAATTCATAAGCTAAAATGAGGCCGTTGATACTTTCTGTAATGAGCTTAGGACTTAGAATGCTAATTTTTAATAACATACATGTATTTACCTATGATTTAAACAGCTTTCAGAAATTCATACCGTTTTAATATAAAATGTTAGATAATGTTAAAATTGATGGCCTTTTTCATAGTTTGGTTATTATAAAATACAGGCTCAATTGTTTGAGTAACGTCATTTATCAAAAAAAATGATAATCTTCCCCTGGTGTATACTTTGATACCTGGATTAAGTTTGTATTTAGAGCTCTATATGAATAAAGAATATGTTCGATTTTCATAATATTCAAAGTTATTTACCATTTTACCTAAGAATGATAACATGCTATTATTGTATTGTTGTTAACCTGGTCAATATCTAATTTAAATCAGCAAAATTTCAAATGATTTTTGCGTTGGTTAGGATAAATACGAAATCTAAATACTATTGTTACGTGCACAGGCTAGCTGTTATATATGTAATTTTTCTTATGGTTACTTTGCCAGTTGATTGGCTACAAATGATTATAAAACGATTTATTCAAACTTTGGAATCAAGTTTAATTAAATATTGTTTATAACACTAACGTACCTTTATAGATGATGTGCTTTCCTTGAACTTTATAAAATACTTAGGTGTCACTATTTATATTATTTAATATATATATCATCCACTTGGATATCGAGTTTTCATCACTTTAGTATTAACGATTACACCTAACGCAATGTTTAATTGATTCAATTGATATACTTCGTAAATAGTGCAAGATTTCAAGTAATTAATATAAAATATTAATTAATAATTTCTGTGATGTCGACACTTCTACAGCTGGGCAGACACTGACTGTCCCTATGTAATTTATGCTTAATGAGGGTCCATCCGCCCTTTCAGACACAAAACACAGCTTTAGATGTCGAGATGTCACCAGTCATGCCATTAAAGAGTTAATTTTGAAGCACAAAGTGGTGATAATTTACCTCCATGCAATTTCCAAGGAGTTTAAGCCAAAGATATGAATTTGAGCCAAAAGTAGGTCACTGTACGGCGGTTAATGAGAACCTAAATGTACAGTAACCTGAAAAAAATATGAAAGGGTAGCCCTGAAAAGGGTTGTTTGTGCCAGCAAAAGGCCTGTCGTTCAAGCCGTCTCACAGTGCTAGGGGCTCACGCACCCTAGCACACTATCCTCGTCGACTCGGAGCCTACTTTGTAGGGTTATTCCCCTCGGCTCTAGTCAGGACACCGGCAGTAAACTTCATGCAAGCTAAGTTGTGCCGCTTTATGAGTAACCCCTAGCTGTAGAAAACATGCGAACTTGCCGTCTTACACGTAGCATTGGTTCTTCAATCATCTGCCGATGCCCTGTTTCCTCTCAACGACATACACGTACCGAGGGAAAGAGAGAAGTGAGACTGACTGTCCACAGTTTTGAGCTCTATTTATTACCAATAATGTGGATACAGTTAATGATCGTTTACTGAAGTTGAGGAAATCAAGCATCCAAAAGATATTGATATTGGGTCGAATATTGATGCGAATGGTATAATAAAAATATATAATGATTATGAATAAATTGTTAAATCTTATTAGGTATTATTTATGTATTGTTTACTTTTTTATTAAAGATTAAACTATACTTTTAAACACAAGACTGCAAATTTGTTTACAATTATCTTATCGGTAATCTTGGTAAAAAGCCACACACCGGTCTCTCGAATATCGATTATCATTATTTATCAGTAAGACCGGTGTACACAATGGGCAAAAGAGAACAATTTGCTATTATTGTTTAATTTGTCATTTTTATTTACAAAACAGTTTTTTTTGTTGTTTTTGTTTTGTTTTGTTGTATAGTATCAAGAGAACGCACAGATGTTTCACATTTTATACTATATAAATATACAGCTTGTACAAGTGAACTGCCAAATACGAACTCCAGACTGGGCTTTTTGACCACTATTTATAATGACAACTATTCACATAAAATGTTACGAAATACGTATAATCTAGCCGACCCCAAATACATTATCTATGATTTTGACATTTGACCATGTTGTTCCGTATATGTTATGTTAAGAGTTCACATTATGAAATGAAATATATTATTGTATTGTAAAACTGTGTTCATCATTCATTTACATAACATATGTATGACTTATTAACCTGCAATGCAACAGTTTATTGAAGTTAAATTGTTCTGATAGGAATCTATTCATTGATTATGCTGCATTATCTAAATATTATGTCATATTTTGTAATTTAAAGTTACATCATTGTTCATTCATTTTCAATCAATAACTGGTAGATATCTATATATGACAAAGGAAGATAATCTTGATTAAAAAGTCAAACAGGTTCCCTTGACAACTAGGAAAGGGAGATCACTCTTGTTCAGCTAAATATTGGCTAATTATTTTCATCAGTTTAAATATCCTAATGATGATTTTCTTTGTGTTTTTATTATTCACAGTATAAATATAATGTTTCTTTAATAATTCTGCATTTCATGTAAATAATACTGAGTTTTGAATACATTCAAAGGGAACTTCTATTTTGGGACTTCTTTCACAAAAGTTCTAGGGATATTCTATTTATAGAATTAGGGATGAATCATGTATTACTTTTGTTTTGCACTGGTATTATTGATAATCATTAGAAATTAAGTATCAGAAATAAGATATGTTAATGGGTTTTAAAGAAGGTTGGCATAAAAAGTCATTTTCACAGAGGGTGCCATAGAACTTTTCATTGCTGTTCCCATTTTTTGTATATAATGATCAAAGTTGAACTGAAAGTTATTATTTTCTAGGACCATGGAAAGAAGTTTACATATTTCATTACATGAAAGTTTTTTTGTTGTTGTTTTTTTTTTTTTTTTTTTGGGGGGGGGGTCTCTAAAAATGTCTGCAAGATTGTGGTTTTTAGTCTGGCAATAAAATCAGAAGTGTCCCTGTTAACGATGGTAGATTATGTGTTAATGGCTTTAAAATAGAATCTAGGTACAGAAAGATGCCCCAAATGTCAAATTCATCTAAAATATTCCCGTTAACCTTACCTAATTCATCAATACATTATTATTATTATTATTATTATTATTGAAATTTCATATTTTTTCACTACAGCAAAAGGATATCAGATAGACAAATTAGAAACATAAAAGAAGGGACTCATTCAGATTATACAAAGAGGTAGGTTTCTTAAGTCCTAATAAAAGATATACTTATATTTTGTAAATAAATAACCTTTACATAATTTAACTGTTCAACACTCTAAGTCTGTATAAAATTTTAAGCTCACTGATTGCACTTTAAGCTTGATTAACATAAAATTGATTATTTGTTTTCTTGATGATAGATTTTTTAATTTCATGAAAAGCTAAAACTACATTAGCACATGAGTAAGAGTTAAAATCGAGTCAATTTAAAAGTAAAATGTATTCAATTAAATATTCTTTTTTTATAGCTGGCTGGATGAAAAATGTGAAACCGCTAGAAGTCAAAGCGTTTCATTATATTCAACAATAAAAGAAAGTGATCAAACAACGATGTGAGTAAATAATTCTAATAAGCAATCATTCAAGGAAGCGGGGAATACCCTCCCATTTAAAAAAAAATCGTGAAATAAAACTATCACACAAATCAATTAACCAAAATGTTAATGAGATGTACAGCTAAAAATGGTATTAATTATTCCTGTAAAGTTTTGAATACAATTGAAATTAAGATATAAATCAGTAGTTTCAGAGGAGAAGTCCAGACAATCTTCTCTGTAGCCGGCAACACGAAAACGTTTTTTTATTTAAGGGCCATGACTTGTCAAAAAATCACTCAAGCTGAAAACCTTTGTATTATGCACAAGAACTTTAGCTACCAATCAATCCTGTAAAGTTTTACCGAAATTGTATAAGTGGTATAAAGGAGTAGTCAAGACACAATTCAACATTTTTTTATTCAAGAACCACAACTCGGTCAAAATTATTCAACCTAGAAATCCGTGTAATATGCGAAAGTAATTGAGCTACATATTAATCCTGTAAAAAAGTTTTGAAAGAGCATTAATGGTGTAAGACCGGGCAAACTATAAAAATGAACATAATTATAGGGCAATAACTCTGACAAAAATCATTAAACCCGAAAATGCCGACGATATGCACAACTAGACTTGGTTCTGATCATTCTCGTTTGGATGTAATTGCATCAGTAGTTTTTGAGGAGAAGTCCGGACAAGCTTTGTGACAGACGGACACAAAGATAGACGACTGAGAAATGATCCCTTGTTGCGACACAAAATTTCTTATTATAGTTTAGCACTTTATGTGCTCATAGTACCTCGATCTAACTGGGAGTTTTCGGAGTTTCTTCTTAACATTATCGGCGTTAATTTAGTACGTGTAAAATGCTAGAATGTTAGAATATTGGCTAACTCAATTATGACATTAATAACTTATTAGCTGATTGACGAAATACAAATGTTTTCATTCTTTACTAACATAAAATAGGGTTTGTTTCATACAGTTGGATATATTGCATAATGTTTAAAATGTAGATTAAGGGTGAATTTCAATACTCCTTTATACTTGCATTATGATATTAACAGATGTCTGTAGAGTATGGTGGTTGATTTGTGCCATTCGTGTTTTCGCCCCGCGACCCCGCCAAGCGGAAAGTAGAGAATTAAGAAGTTAAAATATCGGGGGCGCGGAGTGAAAAAAAGGCTAATTAGCGAGGGCGCAGCACGAAGATTTTCTTAAATCTTGCTTCGCGCCACAGAGGCGACGTATTATTAAGTAAACTTTGCCTCGCGCCCTGGTAAATAGCGGTGTTAAAATGTATTTTGGTTATCAAAAAATGTCATAAATATAAAATACTTATTAGATATAAACATAAATTCAGAATTATGAGACCCCTTGTTACTCTTATCGAAACATGTCTTTCTTACAAGATCATTTGGAGTAATTATTTGTTAATTTAAGATAAGAATAAATAATAATATCTATAAAAGTTCTAGTAATCGACCTGTATGTAAAAGCTACCGTATGAGGAATATGTCTGCAGAGTATTTACAGACCAGGCTGGTGACCAAATCTTAATTATACGTATTGCATATTTTGCCCCTTTGATATTTATGTCATGTCAAATTATACAGACTGTCAGACAGCACACGGACCCTTGTTGAAAATTCAGTTACAAGCAGAACAATGGCAAGCAGTACAATAGCGACATCCGACGGTACAGAAATAATAGGGTCGGATGATCAGTCGTTAAACATACCCAACTTGCAACTATTTGAAAGGTAAGTAAATTAATACTCGAGGTTTCGGATATATTATGGCTGCTTAAAAAAACATGTAGCTGTCTTTTTGCAACTAACAACAAGCCAATAGACATGTACTTGAATTCTTCTTGTCGCACGGCTTGATATCGTCTTGCAAACAGAAAAAAAAAACTATTTACAAATAATTTCGTCATGTTGCGCGCACCTAGTCGCTAGCGGGAAGATGACAACTTGATATCCACCATGCGACAACAGGAAAAGACGCTAATCGGTGATTTTTATATAGCTGATTTATATAGCGGCTAATCTATTCAAACTATTTACATTTGTAGATTGTAACTATTTAGTAAATGTTAACATACTTGGGCGTGAATGCATTGTGTCCTCAATGTTGTATATACTGACCAAATTAATACAAAATAAAAGTCATCTTCAATATCATTACAATGGCATAGTTGCCACTTCCTATCATTTCTGTATACCAGATTCAATAAAAAGTTGAACAGACGACAAAAGTAAATTAGCAAGAGTGTATTTTAAAATTGAACATTTTATCTTCGTGAAATATTCCAAAATTCGGTTTTATTTCTTGAAAAGTAAAACTCTTGTAAATATGTCCTGTCTCCAGTAATTTACATATATATCCTAAAGTCTTATTCGAACAAAATAAGAGTAAACTTATTCGTATCTATTGAAGAAATAAAACAACCAAAAATCATTAAAACCAGCATTTTGTAAAAGGTCTCTTAAGTCCAACATCATTGTTTTCAGCATAAGGTCCTTATTTATTGATGGTACACTGCTGAAAAAAAAAAAACAATATTAAGATAATTGAAACTTATATTTTCTAACATTTCGCCGTTATAATACAGATGTAAATCTCTTTTTATCCTCCACCTTTTTGAAAATAACTACCTTTGTTTTGTCAACATTTACTTTTCATTTCCATTTCTGACAAAAATTATTTAACCTTTAATCTCAAATAGACGTGTCGTCTTCCCTTTTTTGAGGCCTCAAATAGTAAAAAATGAACTATTTTGGCCCAAAGCACTTATGTTCCTTTCAGGAAATCAGGTTAAAAAATGACCACATTTTCGGCGCCGCCCCCTATAGAAAGGCTAGGAAAAATTTGAACTTTTGAGAGGCTAAAATACTTATAGTGGACAGTTACGTCACGTTTAATCAACGCTAAAAAGCCTTTGACTGAATCTCAATCCTTTGAGAAGTTGCAGCACCACGAAATCAGTTTTGATGGGAAAATCGACGCAAAATAGTGATTTTTGAACTTTGGAGATGTACCCCAACCGTTGCTATGGTAACAGGAAATTTAAGTTTGAGCATGCTGTTACAAGGGCTATGGTCCCGTCAATATTTGTACCAAAAAGCCATTTTTCACAATATGGTCATGCAGTAAAATGAGAATGATTGTTGTAGCTCGTGCGCTCTCTAAAGATTATGGCGTCTTCAGCAATTAACAATAGGTAGATAGATAATTGATCTAATGTTAAATCAGAATTACTGTTATTTATGTAAAAACAACTCTATGATATCATTTACGAATAGTGTAAACAAAATAGGTGTTATTATCTCCCCTTGAAATAAGCCTACACCACAATTGAAAAGATCTGACAATGTATTATTATGTAGAATACATAATATAATCTTATTATACAAAGATCTAGCATTATATATATAAAAATCTTTTGCTTTAATTTCTCATTTTTCCTTTTGAGGTTATTGCTTGTTTTCTATTACAATTCCTTTTCAAAAGTGGTACTTAAAATCTTTCTTTTTATAATAAAAATCTCTTTATCTTCAGCAGTTTTGTTATCAAGGAACTGCGATACTGAATTTTTATAAGCAATATTTGTTTCGTTTACAAGTTTCATCAAACCATTTGTTGTTTAGGTTGTTATTACTATCGATGAAAATCGTGTTAGATGAAATCGAACAACATGTTTTGAAATAAGAATTTCCTTTATCAATAAAGAATTAAGTAAATAAATCATAGTAAGATTCGGAAGGATCATTTATTTGATTTTTTTATTAATTTTTTTTTATCATTAAATGTTGCCTTCTATACTGACGATAGCTGGAGCCAAATGACTACCTATTATTTAAGTCTTTCCCTCACTCTTCACAATAAACTTAATGATTTGACCAATTTATTAATTCATACTATGATTTCTCTTATACTATTGATGCAATTTAAATGAAAGTTTACATGATAGATCGAGACCTCAAGTGCTGGCACATGTTATTGTCAAAACTACTCCTCAGAAACTACAGGAGGATGGAGCGGTGGCCTAATTATTAAGGTGTCTGCCTCGCAGCCCAGAGCTCATGGGTTTAATCGAGCTGTAATAAATATGTTTAAACAAACTACAGGTTAATTTTTATCCAAACGTTACAGGAAATATCAGTACTTAGTCTATTTGTGCATATCATCAGCCTTTTTGAGTTCAATGATTTTTGTCGCAGCTATAGCCCTTTCATGATTTTTATTTTTAAAGTTTGTCAGGACTACTCCTCATATACCACTACTGCAATTTTAATGAAACTTTACAGGATTGATCGGTAATTCAATTACTCGAGCATATTACGTGGTTATTTTTCTCCTTGAATGACTTTTGGCTGAATTATTGTCCTTTAATAAAAAAAGATTGTGTGCGTGTTAATGTTGATACATGCGACAAACTAGTCACAAACTCTACAGGGATGATCAGTACTAAGGCTATGGGCATATCGTAGAAATTTAGTAATGATCCTTTAATGAATTTTATTTTTAACGTTTTGTCCGAACTTCTTTTTTATGCTAAAATGGAGATAAATAAGGAATCCCTAAAGAAAGCCCGACAGGACAAAATTGAAAATGTTGCAGACTTGGTTTAATTGAGCCTGTTCATTGACAGTAATGGAAAGTGCAAGTTACCCTCCAAGTCCCTAGCACCGGCTAAAGCAGAATTCAACATTTAACTGATAAAATTTAGAATTTTGAAACATTCGCAGATGTGTTTAATATGGCGGTCATCATGGAACCTTCAATGTTCAACACGTTAGTACATTCCATGAAAAGCGGCATATGGTCCCCAAGTAAAGAATGATTGTGTCCTTAACGAGAAAACAATGGGCAGAACTAAATAAAATGGAATTTTGAAAGGGGAGCCTGCATATCACAGATATGAAGTCAAAAGACACATTAAAAACACATCACATATTTTAAGGGTGATTCAACAGTATTCAAGTGAGGAATATTAAAATCACACAACAAGAAAATAGCCAAATGGAACGAACTAAAATACCAATAGCACGTGCTGAACGATCTTTAAGGATCGGGAATATAACATCCCCGATTGAATGTACGGGGCGACTTTTAACAGCCTCCTCACGGCACAAACAACGCTGAGTTGCAGTTCAAATGAAATAGACAGAAATAAGAATCCATAAAGAAAGCCCAACACGACACCACTGAAAATGTTGTAGGCTCGGTTTATTGGCCTGTTAATGGACGGTACTGTCAATTGCAAACTACCGTCCACGCCCCCTAGCACCAGCTTAAGCAGAATTCAACATTTAACATGAACTGGTTCTTAACTTTATGAAACTTTACAGTATTTATTGATATCTCAAGTTTTGCGAATATTTAACGTGATTCCGTTCGCCTGATATTTTGCTGAGTCTTGGCCCTTGAATTTAATAAGCCTTTTGACCTGGTAATGATTTTGTTTCTCTTGTTACATGGTAGCTGCAACATGCAATTGGCTATGACCAGGCGACACATTTGATCACTGATAGCTCTTTTTATTCTTAGTGCTACAAGAAGAAAAACGGTTAAATGCTAAAATGTATTTTGTTTCAGGACACTTATCCGTATTGATTTGATATATTCATTTATAATTTTTGACAGTTTTCTTAACCTTTTCATTGGATATCAGCTGAAAAGCTAATATTTCTAAAATAGATAAATACAGAATCCCTAAAGAAAGCCCAACACGGCGAAAATTGAAAATGTTGCTAAAACCTATCTATTATTAATTGTGCCCCTCTTAAGGGTTTGGGGCATTTAGTAGAAATGCATTATAGTAGAAATCGATTTTACATTTTTTGCAGAGACTCTGAAGGATTTGATAGTTTGCAAAATCATCGGAAAGATCTAGTAACCAGTGAAAACACAGTTAAACACAAGGACATACATACAGGCTTTTTGAATCTGGCACATAGCACTTTACCGGATGCAGCAAATCTTCGGTAGGCCCTACCCATTATTATTGTGTTAAAATATTAAAATAATTATAGATATTTTTACAAGTAACCTATTTTGTAATTCATCATTTCACAATTCCACGTTTCAAAAAAGTAAAAAAAAACATCATGCGTATTATCTAATTCAATTTACTTGATACAACTAACTTAATGCAATAGTATATTGATTTATTGCGAAAGCATTGGTACACGTTTTACATTTTTGGGCCTTATTTGTGTTTAATCGAACAGTATATATTGTCTGTCGTTACTAAGGTAACCTACAGGCAGGAAATCTAAGCTCATTTATAAATAGGTCCAAAATCCTTACTTTTTAAACATTAGTTTGCATATATTTTTACATTTTGTATCGTTAAGGCTAGATTTCCATGTATCCGTCATACGGCTGCATTATCCGTTTGCGACAATCCGACATAGAGACATGTTCGGCTCCTTTTATTTTCAGTGTGAGGTGTTCTATTTAAAAGACCCTGCTTAGAATTAAAAATATCAATATTCAAAATAAGAAATGTTATTTAAAACAATATATGGAACAAATTAAGATGTTTGCACAATAAAAATTGAAATACAAGCGGTAGGGTATAAAATGTAATTAAAATCACAATTTGCCCCAAAAACGAATAAAATGTTCCGCACACTTATTTTATAATATTTGAATAATGTTTTAACAGCATGTTAGATACTACCTGTGAAATAGATATTTTATATCCTTCATCGAACATGTCTTAACAGATAACATAGATGACAGTATGCATAAGTTGTCACTCGCACAAAACAAAAGCTCGAATTTTTTAGAACATAAATAACAACAACATGTGTATTTTTGGAATGAGGCCGTTACTTAAATATACAAAACAATTTAAGAACTTAAAACAAAGAAAAACTAAATTCCAATTTAAACTTGTAGTTGATTTATAAATTGAGAAAATGAAAATCATACTTCTAGCCAAAATGCATAGATACCACGTGCATATAGCAGTACAAAAATGCCGAAAGCATTAATTATGCTTGTATCATAGTTTGGAGGCCTTTCTGTTGAAAATGTGTCAGGGTTAAATCGTATACATATACATGCACAGTGCGTTAACTGGAGTGCGGGTATTAGTTTCCCGCACTCCAGAGCATGCCCATTGATTGGCTCATTTTTGCTGGGGTTTACATATTGTGACGGGAGAAAAAGGGAAAGCGACAGAAATGTCATATCCAGATGTTCGTTCATTGGTTCATTTTTGCCGGGGTTTCATATTGTGATACAGGGAACGTGATTTTATGTTTGACTATGATACAAAAGAGAAAGAACACCAAAACACTCGGCAATCTGATTTATACTCGGGGGCTACGCCCCCTCGTACAAATCAGATAGCCTCGTGTTTCGGTGCTCTTTCTATTACATAACCTGCAAGGGAAAAGTACTTCATAATCATAGCTAAGGGGAAACGGAGAGAAAATGCTTTCAGAGGTCTCCAAACAATGAGATGGTAAAATAAGTATGAATAAATTACACAGTGTAACAATGTTAAGAAAATGTGTACCTTAAAATATGCCCAACCGAAATGCACTTGATGTATTGTGGGACACACGATATTTTATGCGGACATAAAATTTATCCAATATTTTGAATTAATCTAACACGGCATTTTTGCTATTGTTACTTGCTGAGCGATACAATAAAAAAACAGAGAAATTTACCACATGCATCTAATGCCTCCGATGCTAAGTTATATTTCTTATTTTATAAGCGATTTTTATCGAACTGCTGGCTGTGAAGAAGGGGTAAATGTAAGATTTGATGCCAATAAAATGCACGAAAAACGTGCTAAAAAAGATTAATTACCGTGAAACTAGCTAGATGTGAGTATTAGAAGGGTAAAATTAAGTGCGAAATATGGCATAATATAACACTCCAAAATTAAAAACGATATATTTTAAAAAGGAACATAAATCCACTTACTGTATTTTATTTTTAATATGAATAATGTCATAATGTCAACGGATAAGCGAATTTTATTCACATTGAAAAATACTTTAACAGGATTAAATAACTGATAAACGCTTAAAAGTGCTGAAATACGGGCTTACAATAACGTTGTAGAAAAAGTTGTATATCAGTCACAAGCATGATGATTTGTTGATCTTTCCAGCCTTTTCTCACAATGTGTTTTTAACATCATTGAGACAACAATTATAAAATGTCGCATTCTTCTTTCCAGACAAAATATTCATCGTGAAAGGAAGTATGCTTTGCAAGCCAGAAGCATGCAGAATCTAAATTCAGAACAATATGAAGACAGCCAAGAGGAAAATTGGTAAAATTGCTTTAAGAAATGTAATGGACTAAATTAAATAAACCGAATGCGGTATATTCAATCCCGGAAGTTAACCAAAAATTGTGAAAACTTAACATATCCGAATACAATACCGCATTTGAACGTTTCCGCTTAAATAAAACAATATTATGAAAAGCCATCGCTACTATCAATACTTAATTTTAATCTGTTACATTCCCTCTGATAGGTAAAACTGCTTGTGACTTTTTCGACACTAATTTATCGAATAAATCCAAACACGTTTCATTTTTCACAAAGTAACCTTAACCTATTTAGTTACATTTTAACCAAAATGAAATTTTACCAAAGCATTCCGGTCCCAAAGGTGAAAATACTGATCATTTTGTAAAACAACGCGTATTTTATCACATAAATAAATGAATTCCAACAAAATAAAATAGATCAGAATACGATAAAGAGCATTAAAATTGAAATTTAGAATATTTGAAACATTCAAGAACACACCAAATTAAAGTATTTAAAAAGTACAACGGCAACTGTATAAGTATCAAAGATAATGCACTATATATTCTGAAAACATAATTGCTTTTCATAAATAAATGTGTTTATCATTCTAGGACATTCGGCAATGAACATGGAAATTCTGGTGCAAGAACCGATGACAGCGTAGTGTGAGTACGAGTATACTGTTACTAAGTTGCCTACAAAAGAATTTAATAGTTTACTTTCTTAGCTCTTCTGAGCGATAGCTCATTATTTAACATTCTACTGGCAACAATTTTAATTTGACTTTCATTTAGTGGTCCTTTGGATTAGATCAAATATGGGTCTTCATGGGTACAAAATATGACACATGTTCGTTTATATGCTTAAGGTCACAAATATTGATTTGAAACTTTACAGAATATCTGTCTTAATAATACAGAACTGTTTTGAGCCTGGCTTTTCTAAAGGTTTTAAAGTCAAATAAAAAAAAACACAGCTGACATTTAAAATGTATCAATTTCTTCTAAATATATGAAAATGTGTGTCTTTACGACAAATAGAGCAAGATTGAATATTAACTATATTAAGTCCTAATAAAATCAAGAAAAATCTAGTTTACGCTAAAACTGTCTTTTTTACATGCTTATCATAAAACATTGTCAGAATCTTTGTCTCAATGAAATATTTGTCAACTTTGAGTTACTTTTCGTTAAAATTTAAGTCAAATAAAAGAAAGCCTATGTTACTTCACAAAATGACACGGCGAGCTTTTGTGATGGCAATTCGTCCGGCGTCCGCAAACTTTTAAATGAAACGAAATCTTCTCATAGACCGCTAAGCTAATTTCATCCAAATTTCACAGGAATATTTCTGTGATAGTCACCTTTGGAATGTCCAAGATTTGAATTCGATGCAGAACTCTGGTTCCCAAGGCAAACGAAAGGAAAAATAAATTTAAAAAATCTTCTTTTAAAACCACAAAGAGCTAGAGCTCAGATATTTTGCATGAAACATTTTCTAGTGGTTGTCTACTTAGTCTGTTCAAATTAAAGCCCTTTGGTCAAAAGTGACCCCGCGCCATAGGGTAATTGATTCACATAATATGTAAAATTTAATAGTAAAAACTTGAAAATTTTTCTTTTAAAAATCACAAAAAGGTCGAGCTTAGATATTTAGCATGAAAGATATTCTAGTTGGTGTCTAACAAATTTGTTCACAAAAATTCCCTGGGGTCAAAATTGGCCCTGCAAGGGGGGTCATTGATTTTTTAAATATATATAGTAAAAAAAACCTTAAAAACTCAAAAGAGCTATAGCTTTCAGAGATATTTAGCATGGAACATTTTCTATAGCGTGTCTACCAAGTTTATTCAAACAAACGACCTGTGTTAAAATTGGCTAACCCCGGGGGTCGTTGATTTTCCTGATATGTATACTAAATAGAAAAAATTAAATCATTTGTTTAAAAGACCAAGAGCTAGAGCTTAGATATTTAACTTGACATAATAAATTATTTTGCTAGTGAGTGTCTACCCCGTTTGTTCAAATAAAAACTCTGGGATAAAAATTGACCTCTCCCCGGGGGTCATTGATTTACCTTATATGTGCTTAGTAATAACTTTAAATAAAAAAGTTTTTACAGCCCCGAAAGTGCAAAATCTGTTCAAATTAAACCCTAAGGTCAAAATTGACACGGCCCATAAGGTGGTAATAGACTTTCCTTATATGTATATGGCAAAACATAAAAATCTTTTTTTAAAATTCTAAAGAGCTATAGCAAAGATATTTAGCATGAGACATCTTCTCGTGGATGTCAACCAAAAGCTCATCCGGCCGTTCGAATTTCGTTTTCGCACTAGATTTCTGTAACTACTGGCTGGAATTCAACGAAACTTTATGAGAACCTTAAATTAAGATGCGCATATTGTCGCCTTGTTCTAGTCCGACCCTTTACCTCAGAGTTATGGCCCTTGATTTATTATGCAATATGCATATAGAACAATATTCGTTTCCGGGCTACTTCTCTGCATCTACTGGCTGGAATTCAACAAAACTTTATGGGAATCATCAATATCAAGAGGAGATGTGAATATTGTCGGCTTGTTTCGGTCAGACCTTAAACTCAGAGTTCTGGCCCTAGATTAGTTATGCAGTATGCATATTGAGCAAACTTTATGGGAACCTTCAATTCCAAGAGGAGATGAGCATATCTTCACCTTGTTCAGGTCAGACACTTTAAATCTGAATTATGGTCCTTGATTAGATATGCAATATGCAATACAGCAATAATTGTTTCCGCGCTACTTCTCAGGCTGGAATTCAATGAAACTGTATGGGAACCATAAACACTAAGAGGCGATGTGCATATTGTTGCCTTGTTCCGACAAAACCTTTCATTACAGAGTTATGGCCCTTGATTATTTATGTAGTATGCATATAAGCAATATTGCTATTTCTTTGCAACTCTTGTATTGATTACAACACAACTTTATGGCAACCATCGATACAAAAAGGCAATTTTCATCTCATTGGTATGTCCAGATATTACTTTTTAACACGGAGTTATGACTCTGTTATTAACCTGAATATTTATCATGTACACAAATATTACTGTTTATGCCATGATAAATATATAAATAAAGCCTATGTCTTCAGTTGTTGTGTGTAAGTAATAACCAGTACTCGGGGGGGGGGGATATAAATTCTAATAACCAGTACTCGGGGGGGGGGGGATAAAAATTCAACGAATTTGCTTGTTTTTATATATGTACATTTTTTTGGGACTGTTGTTTCCTTAGCATTAGCAACCAGTAATGTTTTTCCCATTCGGCTATTTTCTTGTTGGGTGGTTCCAGTATTCCTCGCTTGAATACTGTTGAATCACCCTTAAGATATGTTGCCTGCTTTTTTAATTGTCTTTTGACGTATTATCTGTGATATGCAGGCTTCATAACCTCTGATCCCCTTTCAAAATCCGTTTTAATTAGTTCCACCAAAGTTTCTATATCAGTCAAAAAGAGACGGAACATAATTGGCGAATTATCTCTTCTTGAAAGAGACCCATTTCTCTACTGAAAAATTCTGACAACGTATTGACATGTTTCACCCTCAATTTAAGATCTTCATATATTAAGTATATATTACGGAAAACAATTTACCTTGATCAATATCAGATTTAATCAATTTATACCATTGGCAGTTCCTGTCAAATAGATCGTATGCTTTTAAAAAGTAAATAAAACAGCAAAATAGTTTTATTCTTAACAATCAAAGAATGTAATCAAAGAATATAATATTAAAATAGCATCTACAGTACTATACTCTGTTTTAAACCCAAACTGGGCATACATAATGATGTCATTTTCCACAGCACAGACTATTTCTTCAGTCTGCTATTTATAATCACAGTAAAAAAAAACATCTTGTTATCGTAATACCGCGATAATTATTTGGATCTGTGAAGTCACCCTTATTATGTAAAGGAATAATAATACCGGATGACCAACAGTTCGGGAAAGATCTACTATCAAGAATATAATATAATTTCAATTGTTAAGGATTCACAATAGTTATCATATAAAATATCAGTAGAACAAGCTTTTCGATGCTAGAACAATCTCATCCAAAGATATGGGGTATCAAGTTTCTTCAAATGTAGCACTGTTGCATTTTGATTCTAAGAAAGTGTTTAGTTTGTCATGATTTTTGAAAGATTTTTCAATTGTTCATAAAAAGTGTCAACTGTTACCCTTTGTCCCTATTTCATGGCAATTTCTGTTTAAAGATATTCCAGAATTCCAATGGTGATGTATGTTTTATTGTATCAGGGGTTGGACTAGTGTTTCATAAAATTATTTTTACATTTTCGACAATAATGTACACTCCTTTATCTTCATGAAAACGTTCATTATATTCATAAATTGCTTTTTTAATCAATGTTATTCTTTGCAAACTTCGTTATACCATTTTTGCCTGTTTTCATATGTACTACTGAAATACACAGTCCTTTTTTTCGAGCAGTTTTCAAAGTATTTCTTCCCAATAGTATGTAAAATAAATGTGAATTTATTAATTATATCGGGTACTTCTCCCTTAACGATATCATTCAGCAAACTGTTTTCTAAACAACTTATGCCGTGTCTAACTTCATTTATAAAATCATCTCTGTATTCCTTATTCCGTTTGTAATACTTATTTTTTTTTGAAAGACGTATGTGATAACTCAGTATACCGAAAGGGAACGAGATTGGCGCATGATTTAAAAATGTATTGAACTCTATAACATTAAAACTGACAATGTCTTTAAAATAACCCCCATCCGTCAAAATATAATCGACTAGATTTTCTCTGTTCTGTGTCATACAAGTCCGTTTCACCGATGCCGTTATCCTTATGAAGTCTGCCGGTAAGAAAAATCAATTGACAATTCTCCAAATCTTTTCGCTTTTACATCACACGTTTCGCGAGGGAATGACGAGCTAATATCAAATGCATCGTTGTTTCCATTAATTCGATCATTATCAATAAAATCATTTTTTTTACCAACACTAGAATTAAAATCGCCCGAAACAAATACGTTTCCTATTATATTATATTTGATTATATCATTGTCAATTTATCTAAAACATCAACGTCATATGTATTTTGAAAAGGATAATTTTCTGGCGCTATATAGGTTAATGCAATCTATGTCTTTGTCTAATTGAAAAATATGCTTTATCCAGTTTTAGACAAATTAAGCAATCAAAGTCATTTTGAACAATTTTAACACCCTTACGGCAATTATCCTTTGTATAAACTATAAGTCCCCGACAGATCTCCCAACCCTTCAGTGTTGAAAGTGCCTTTTTTGAATGGATCGGATAACTGTATCAATTTTCGACTTTTTGTTTCTCCAGCTTTCTGATAAGCATATAATATTAAAAAATTTTAACGTAGCTATAAATTCAGACGAAAATTGTTTAGCCTCACTTAACCCATGCAACACAGTTCTCAACTCTCTCATGTGCGACCTATTTCGTACTGTTGCCGTTGAATAATTTTTTATTGATTTACAGCTAGTTAACCTTCAAAAATGCCTTGTCTTTTTCATAATGGAGATTAACTGTTTTCTATTTTCTATGATTTCACGGTGGAAATGTTGCTGATCCCGAACGGTGTGCCGTTTAACTTAATGTTTTCTGACC